GAGGGGGAGGGGGGGGGGGGGGGGGGGTCCAAACAAATAGAGGTATAATCATATGAATTGCAATTTCATAAATTTACCGCCATACGACATTTAATTTTTTTGCCCTATAAACTTGATTTCTTTTTCTGATTTTTTTTTTCAATTCTTCTAATTTTTTTCAACACCTGCTGATTGTGGCAACTAAATGCAAGATATTTGTCATCATGAGGCATGCATCTAGATCCTCTTTAATACTTTTTACCTTTTTTTTTTTGGTTTTTGGCTCATCATTATCATAAATGGGTTAGATATCCACTTGTGTACATGAGTCTCACTTGAATGATCCAACAAGAAAAAAAAATGGAGAGAAAATGTATTATAAAAGATCTCGGGCTCAGAATCTAAAAAATTAAATGCACTCTATAACCAACATTTAGAGAAAATGTTATGCATACCAAAAAATGTTTTTACCAAATAAGTTGAAATCTCCAGAACACTCTTAGATCCACCAAATGTTGATAAAAATATTTTTGAATAGATATAGAGTTGTCAACTCATTTAGTAAAAACATTTTTTGATAAAAGTTTTGGTAAGCAAAACATTACTCAAACATTTGGTGGCCACACTGTTATCTTTGTGACGTTCCAAAAATTGGGAGTTTTTTGTCAACCCGTTGATCACCTATCAACCCGTAGAATATCCGTGAATATCATGTAACTCGATATTACGCCGTATACCCTATTTACCGAGATCTATAATTTAACAAAATTCGAGCAGAGTTTACTTTGTACAGGGAGTTCTACCCAAAACATAACATGTGCAATCATATAACATTAATCACACTGGATCCATTTATTTATACTCTATGCAATGTGACATTGATTTGTAGTAGTGTGACATTGGTTTATAACAGTGTGAATTTGGTTATAGCAGTGTGACATAAGCTGATATCAGTATGACAGGCTGGTATCATTGTGACATTGACTTATATCAGTGTGACATTGTAGCATTGTGACATTGTCGTGTACTACTGTGTCAATGCAACATTTACCGCTGTGTCAATGCAACATGTATCACTGCTATGTATAAACACATCGAATAACATACATATAAATTTAAATTTAAAATAATTCATATGAGTTCGATTACAATTTTTTTTCATAGATTATATACCTAAAATCAAATTTAGCAATTGTTTTACAAAAGATGGTTTAAAAGCTATAAGTCGACTTTTTTTCATCTTTGAGGCTTCGCATACGAGCCATCCACCGGTGCATAACCCGCACCTGAAATATTTTCCTATAAATGATGAGCCACGTTTAATAGGGTATCTCCCAAAGAGGCTACTTCCCAATCTAGATGCATATGAAATGTCACATGTAATTTCAAAAAGTCACAAAGTATTCCAATTAAGAATATTCAACTAAATGTTGAAATTCACTATGTCATGTCATGAAATGAGATGAGACTCACTCATGTAATTCAAACTGAGCCCTTATCGGCTCCTATAATACATGCAATACTATGAGTATAAAATCGGGTATTCCAAGCCCTCGTCATTGATGTTGTACATCCAATGACTTTTTATAATAAACCATGTGTCTTTGTTGCGCAGTAGAATTTTGGTGTCTCACCATCGGTTCCACATACTGATACATTTTTTTGGACTTTTACCAACGGAAGTGTATAAACCAGTAACCGGGTCTTGCTCATGAGGGAGAATCTAGCCTTACTTGCTATACTCGACACAAGTTTTTCATGCAACCCGTGCGACTCTGTCGAACATTGATCTAACTATACCAAGCCCACTTATCGACCACCAAGAATGGTGTTTGATCCAATAACATGCACACACAATCACACTCATGTCAAATGCGCATGAATGTGATATTACCCGTGCAATATATAAATGTAATGAACCCTTGCATTTTATATATTTATGCAACTAAAATTTCAATTGCAATTACAAAACCATGTTTAATATGTCATAACCACATAATGAACAATTCAATATCCAACAATCTTTTCTATGACAAATTACATCTCAAGCATATAATTATCATAATTCATCACAATGTTAATATATCAACATTTTCATTCAACTACTATTTTTTCAAGCATGTTATACACAATCTATGCAATAACACACTTAATTCCACATATGCATTTAATCAAACACTATCAAGACACCAAATCATGTGATCACAAAAAAATATCCAAATTTATCACATAACTCAAGAAATTACATTAAGTGATTTCTACATACCCAATTATCAAAACTTCCAAGAAATTATAAGGTAGTAATTTCTAATTACCAATTTATACAAGCATTGAATTTACTCATTTTCATTGTTCATTTCATCAAATCACAACTATAGACAAATGCTAAATACATCTAACAACTTGCCTATTTCATACAATCATCATAGGTTAAAAATAAACCTAATTAGGATGAAAATCCTACCTCTTAGAATGTGATACGAGTTATAGAAAGCCTCCAAGAATACCTCCCAAACTCTAACTTTGATTTTCTTAAAAAAAAAATTTTAAATTTTCGGTAAAATCCATCTTTTTTAATATAGTTGTGTAACCCTTTTCGTGTAGATGAACTTTAATATTTAGCCCGAAAGATTTCGATCGATAGAACTCCATAGATCATAGAGAGAAGATGGAGCTCTCTTTTTTCCTCTCTTCTTTTCCAACGTTAAAATCCAACAAAATAGAATGGAGAAAAATCAAATTTTTGTCCCTTATTTATACCATTTAATACTTGGTTCACGTCACATCACGCATTCCCTATTTCCGGGTCTGTTTTCGTCCCAAAACGATTAAATTTCGTTTCAGTTTAAGTTCAAAATATTTTTATATGAACTTTCTTTAAATTATTTTAAAATTTTCAAAATTTTATTTTCAAGGTCGTTTTTGAAGTCACCCAACACCCGATTGCCTCGAAACACGCAAAAAAATCCAATTATTTCAAAAGTCGACAAAAATTGACAAGTCAACTAAATTTCATAAGATGAATCCAATAATAAAGTCTGTTTCGTCATTTGCGCTCTAAAAAAGTACAGATCTTCAATCTGCACTGAAGTGACAAATTATCGCTTTGTCTTTTTTTATAAAAAGTTTAAATTTACCCGAATTTTACAATATTTTCCTCAAATATGAACAGCAAGAGCATACCCATACAGTAGACTACAAACAAACAAAGGTACTTATCATGTCTACCATCTTTCTGTCTATTACCTCATACATTCATGCTAAATCAATGTGAGCCTTCATCCTGTATTTTCAAATCCAACAGTTAGGGTATGCATCCGAAAAATTGAATAAAGTACGCAAGTTGGTCCTTCAAGAAAAGAAAATATTCCAAAGGTAGGGTGGGCACTATCTGATACAGTACTGGGATCTCAAATATCCACGACAATTTGGCCGCTTGAAAATATATTTTTATCAAATTCTGGCCCCCAAAAGATCACCTAATAATTTGAACGGGCACAAGTAGTGAGGTAAACCATAAGCCTCTTCTGTCCATTTGCTTGCATAAAATATGAAATGGTAAATTGATTCAAATGATACACCAGAAATAACGGCTTCACTCCACCGATGGAGGAATCCTCAGTCATCTGGACGGAAGAGCTGCTCTATATGCTTACAGTACCAGTCCAGGAACGATCAAAAGATCACACCCAGCCAGCCTCATTTGCCATGGCAGGAAAGGACTTGCACCGAATGCAAAATACTCTCCTATTCCTGAAAGTTTGAAAAAATAACAAAACCGTGAGAGATGAGAAAAGGAAGGAGAGGGAAGAAAAAGAATAAATGTTAAACAGCAAGGAACAGTTAATTTCATGGTATTGATGGCTGTGAAGGCAAAGTCTGATGCAAAGACTTCATGAATAAGAGAGCAACAAGCTTGCATTATACCGTTCCACAAAAGGAATGGGGGGCATTTAAGTACGACACAATTCATAAATGCAGCAGCAAACCTATTATTTCAAAATCCCATTTTACATGTATATTGTGTACATTATAAGATCTGCATATGGGAGGGGAGGAAAGGCAGACGCAAAGAATGTTTACAGGCAACTTGCACATACTTGGAGAGATAAGCAAGTGAAAATTGCCCGGGCTCTCACAACTCATTACTGGTTCATCCCTTTATTCCATCCTGAATCACAAGTAATGCATCCCCTCTTTGTGTCCCGACCACATTCAATTGCATGACACTGTCAGTGAAGGCTTGAAAAAAAATTTCCCAAATCTCTACACTACCAGATTTTGAATCTGACGAATTGTGTGGGAATGCCGAGTCAACAGAGGTACATACAGAATTTTGACCAACATTAAATGCATCCCTAAACTCTTGCCACAACCAAAGAAGTTTTTGAAAAATATAAAACCTGGTATGGCTGTCTTTTCTAAATCATGAGAAGAAGAGTGGCATGCATAATTGATGTAAGTGCCCAATAACTTGAAAAAAAGGTGAATTTTTATCCATGCTACTGCAAGGCGATAATTTCTAGTTGACCTATATGAGTGCCCCGCAGATCATCTCTTCCAGCATAACCCAATGACATCTTATTAAACTGGCAGCACCAAAGTCAATTATTTTGTCCCATATATATATTAAACAAAAATTGATTATTAGGTCAAGATAAAAAAAAAGTTGATTATTTTGCAGTATTTCAGCAGTTTTTATGACTATTCTAGCAGTTGTATATTTGTGGTTAAAATGGCAGCTCTATAATTAAGCCTTAATTTGTTCAACAAATTGCCCCTTGAATCATCTTAATCAGTACAACTTCTAATTACAATTAACTAGAATGCCAAAACATAAATGCAGCAGGATGAAAACAAAGAGTCTATTACTCCAAGCACCCACAAAACCAATGAAGGGGAAAATAGTTGCAAATCGCAATTATACTATGTTCAAATATTATTGGTACCTGCTCCATTTCTGCAGGACCATCATCCTTCTGTCCAAGCTCAGCATCGCTTGGTCCATCATCAGGTTCTTTTTCACCATCAGTGACCATTTTGTCCTCTTTGGCAGTTTCATTGCTGGCCATGGAATCATTATCCACATTCAGATCGGCAGGAAGCTGGCCTGACTTCAATGCCTACTCCACACAATTCCAGCCAACAGTAATGCAATCAAAATGTTATCATTTTGAACAGCAACAAACACAAGCTACAATAATAGAAATGGAAATGGATTTTTCAGGAAAAAAGACCATTCCATGGGGGCCTGCTGAGATGACGCAAAAGGAAGGTAAAAATGACTTTATAAAAGGGAAATCATTTTGTGACCAATTTAAACTGCAATAAGGAATCACCTGTTCCAGCCGCGCTACTTCTTCAAGAGTTTGGGAATTCACTATGGCAGCCTGCACACATATCGTGAAGATCAATCTGACCGCCACAGAGAATGCTTGGAAAAAGAAGGAAGAAAATAGGGAAAGAAAATACAATAGTGAACATGAAGCCTCGAGAAGACATGGGAAAATAAAAATAAATATGAATTTGTGATCCAAGTCTTACATTTAATCAAAGGTGAAGCCTCTATTGTGGATAAAACTGCAAAAACTTGACTCATGATACCTATACCCAGTACCTATGGTGAAAATTGAAGGAAATGACAATGGTAACTTGTTCGAATTCCTTAACAATGGCAAGCATAATTCTTCTACCATTCCAAGCATCATCACCATGATGATGCATCATGCTCCAGACATAGCCTTATGCTCTAAGTAGTTAAAATATAAAACATAAAGGGAAAAGAAGGGAGAAACAGAAAGGAAAGGGAGAAAAAAGGATAAATTGACCCTGATACCTTGATAGCTATAATTTGCTCCGGTGTAGGGGCAACAACTTTAGGTGTTTGCTCTTCTGTTGGAACCCCTTGCGTGCTTGGCATCCCACCCGCTACAAATGCCTTCACAGATTCCTTTTTAGCCTCCTCTTCAACTTCTTGTGACGCAAATAGATTATTGGCCTCAATTCGCTCCTATTATCAACCAACACGTTGTAGGTTACGCAATAATTTATAATAACTTAATAAGTACATGAAATTAGATGCCAGAAATGCAAGAGTGAAATTGACTTTCAGACCAATGTTTGTAAAAGTAGATTTCTATAAGTTGTAAGCACCATGGATATTAAGTGATACAATTCATAAAATGCTCAAGGAAACACAAATTCGAAGATGTGAAAGATAATGAAATTTACTTTCCATCAAGACAAAGATTCATATGGAACCTTGCATTCTTATTTTAAGTCAATTTGCTAGTATTAATATTTTATATGTCCTTTTAATATTTTTAGTGTCAGGGATATTTTTGTAATTTCTAGAATTTCTGGAATAGGTCATATTTTTGGGTCAAATTTTAGTATTGAATATTTTAGAATTTAAAGTCCTAGTTCTAGTTAATTTTAATTTTCTAATTTGTAGGGACCTAGTGTCTTTGAAGTTCTAGAGACTTTGGAATCCTAATCTTTTGGGATTAGGATTACTTAGAACTCTATATATAGTTAGTGTAACTTTTAATAATAGAAAAAGAGAGATATTCAGAATTTTGAGCAATTATATGTTTCTTGAGTTGTGTAATGCAATTCTAATCCTGGGTGTGATACCTACGGAACCCTAAGAGTGATTCCTAACCAAAATTACTGGTTACACTACTGTTCACAGTCCCTGAATAGCACCTAAATAGTCCCTATTTTCTATTTTACAAAGTTGTCCTCCATCAATTTGGTATCAGAGCCGAAAAATCCTATTTTATGCGGCTTAAATATTGATATATGATGATGAAAATCCAAGATTTTGATGGAAGGGATGAGTCTACAATATTCTCTAGTTGACTTGTTTTTATGAAGAACTATTTTGTTAGGTATAATTTCTTAGATGAGAGGAGAGTAAGCTTACCAAAATGAAACTTGTAGGCTTGACAAAAATTTGGTGTTGAAGGAGATATAAGAAGATTGGGATAACCTCCTACAAACACATGACAAAAGATGAAAGCTAACCTTCAACAGAAGTATATGCCCTCAAACTATAATAGCAAGTTGTGCAAACAACTTATTAATCTGCAACAAAGTATCCTATCTGTTACAGAGTATATTCAAAGTTTTGAAGACCTAATGTTGGAAAACTATAGAAGAACTTTGTCAAACAATTGCTCGATTCAAGGCTGGTTTAAAAGCAAATATAAAGGCAAAAATACTTGAGCAACCACTATACAATATAGAGCATGCATTCCAAGTGGCACTTGGTACGAAGATATACCTAAATTTCCTTCACCAAGTAGGTATATCAAGGGTTTCTTCTTCGCAAAGGGGTAAAACTCAATTATTTAGATTCTACTGTGCAACTAGAGAAGATTCATCAAAGGTAGCGCAAAGCAACAACTAATTGAATAATTTAAGATGGAGGATATCAAGTAGAAGAATCAACACAATCTCAAGAAATTACGCTACTTACTTGTCCAGAGGCTAAGGTAAAAAATGAATATCCAGACAATTTTTTTGTTGTAGAGCTTGACAAGATGGAAAATCCAACAACTAGTATTGAATCAAATGAGCCTTTAGAGATGAATACGTTAATACCTAAGGGCTCTGAATAGTGCTAAAAGTGTTGTCCGGTGAAATTGTTTTCATTAATGACTTTCAACCAGCAACAATGATGTTCCAAGAGCTTGATTTGTTTGCATCTTTCAAGGATCTACATGAAGAGTCACCAATACTTCTTATTCACTTTACTCCACCAATTGATTTTATCATTCCAAAAAATTTCAACGACACAATCAAGGAGATCAATTTTTAAATTTTTTCTTTGTTCCCTCAATTAGAGAAGAAAATGAGACATCATCTTAATGCTTCTCAGAGACAGCTACATATACAAGTTCAAAGTTTTTGGACTTTCATACTGCAACACTTTAAAACTCAAGGTCAAGTTTTCTCCAACCAGGGAAGAATGATGCAATCCATAACTCAAGGAAACACAAATTCAAAGATGTGAAAGATAATGGAATTTACTTTCCATCAAGACAAAGATCCATATGGAACCTTGCATTCTTATTTTAAGTCAATTTACTAGTATTAATATTTTATATGTCCTTTCAATATTTTTAGTGACGGGTATTTTTTGTAATTTTCAAAATTTCTGGAATAGGTCATAATTTTGGGTCAAATTCTAGTATTGAATATTCTAGAATTTAAAGTCCTAATTCTAGTTAATTTTAGTTTTTTAATTTGTACGGACCAAAGTTGTTAGTATCGTACGATACGCGATACGTATCGTACGATACGTTACGATACAGCCCTAAAACGATACGGATCGTAGTTATGTATCGTTTTTGCGTTGTATCGTCCGATACACGATACGTTTTTACGATACGATACGTATCGGTACGAAACGCACGATATGTGCAATTTTTTATTTTTTTTATTTTTTTTATTTTTTTTTTAAAAACGACGTCGTTTTGTGCTCTGATTTTTTTTNTTTGAGGTACATGCGCACTAATAATTTTAATTATATTTGTTCCTACTTCCCTTACTTTAGTTCCTACCCATTTAGATTCTTGTAGGTAATGCTATACTAAATTTTCTTCTAATCATGGTTTCAAGTAGCTCCATTCCTTTACTTGTTATTGTTCCGATATTCCTAGTTGTTAGCCTATTTTAGTATCTTAGACTAACTTCTTTACCCGCGTTCGTCCAAAGTGAGTGTACGAGACCAAGGGAAACTAACTTTGTAGGAATCTTTGCAAAATTTTTCATGGCAATTGAGCGATATACCCTTCATAACTTGTTTAGGAATAACCAATTCATGGGGCGGTTGGAGTATCATAGGAGGGACTATAACGAATCCGGGTATTTGGAGTTACGAAAGTGTGGCAGGGGCACATATTATGTTTTCTGGCTTGTGCTTCTTGGCAACTATTTGGTATTGGGTGTATTGGGATCTCTAAATATTTTGTGATGAGCGGACAGGAAAACCTTCTTTTTAGAGCGGGATCCAAAAGCTCTCTAACGTGTTGCGGAGCCTTTGGTCGTGAGAGGAAATAGTCTTTTGGCTTCATTAGGACCGTATGAAGCTTAGCTTGCAACCACGTAATGTAATGATTGTTGTTCGTGGTAGGCGTAGGAGCTGGGTGAAGCGATAGCGAAGCTCCAGGGGTAATGCAAGTGCGCGGTGAGCATAGTAACCCCCTTATGCATGCTCCTTGTACAACCAAGTGAAGAGCTAAAGATAGCCGAACGATATAGATAGAATGGTAGCCTTCTGCACTAGGAGTTCTATTCCTTTATCTCTAGTGATTCTCCAAATTTTATGCTCTATCTCTTAGCTCTCTCTTATGGAAGAGCCTTACAACTCATGTTATGATATAGATTCCCAAACAAAGTTGTTAGTATCGTACGATACGCGATACGTATCGTACGATACGTTANTCAAACTCACTTTTCATCGTAACAGATTCTATAAGGCAAAAGTGCGTCAATCATCCTTGTATAACCACTAAACCAAAACTGAAGCAGGAGCTGCTATGCTTATCCTCAATCAGCCTACAAGCTCTCAATGCTCCATCTGTAGTGGTCCCAAACTCGCAAGTACACTCGATCTATCTACGTTACACTTGCATGCACATTCTAACAACCTACAAGCATTTGCAGAAAGAAAAATAAAGCCTGAACAAAGAGGAAATCAGAGTAAATCCAATAGGACACAGGACTCCAAAGGTCAGGCTGACAAGAAGGAAGAAAAGAGAAGACGAAAGCTAAGTCGCAGATCCCAGAAGAGGATTGCTTACTGATGTTGAAGCTTGTTCCGCTTGTCTCTGAAACATTAACAATAAGCACTACTCTGGTAACACATCACTCGGTCACTGCAATATTTTCAACCGACAACATGTAAAAGGTTACCACGGTAAAAGTGACAACAGTAGATCAACACTAGCATGCCATTCTAATGTCCTAAAAGGTTACACAAAACATTAGGCTTCGTGTTGATTTAAAACACAATGGCATCTACGACTCAAAGGAGGGCTCATGTCAAAAAATTACTCGGACCAAGGACAAGTAATTAAGTACATTTGACTTTAGACTACTACATGGATCAAGAACAAGTAATTAATAAAGAAGATCTAACTCAGACTATTACTAGGAATCTAGTAACTGTGAACATCATACTAAGGTAACTATCTGAGAAAAATAATCCAGAAACAAGATTGAACAGCCAATATGAATTCCTACATACTGACCATAACATCAGATGTTACCAGGAATCAAATAGCACACAAGAAACCTTCAATTTTCAGCCATGTTTCTTCACCCCACCCCCCAAAAAACACCACCACAATCCAATAGAAGATAAAGAGTAGAGTTTGATACGCGAAAAGACAACATGAGTTAAGATACACCCAACATCTCAATCATTGTTACCGAGGATTTACTAGGATGGCTTATATTCCCTCCTGCTCTCAATCACAATCTTCTTCCTAGTCTCAAGGTCAATCTTTTCCACGTCAGAAACATTTCCAAGATAGCCATACAAGATTCTTTGCATCTCACCTGTCCTCTCATCCAACTTCACAAGGTTTGGATTGTTCTCGTCATTCTTAACTGTTATCACAGACTGTACACGAGCCCATCCCTTTCGCCCATGATTGTCTTTCTCAAAATATTCTGCCAGTCGTATGGCCTCCTTCAAGCCAGATTCGTCACCAGCAAACTTAATAACAGTAATGCCCTGATGACCATCTCTAGTGTACAAGGATTTTGACTTGCCACCCCCAAATCCAAGATCTGAAAGCAACATTCAAAAGAGATGCACAAATTGTTAAGAACTTTACCATTTCATAAAAAAATCTATGACACAACTAAGCCCAAACGAAATCATGGTAAAGGCCACATTGTCCCGATCATTCCATCAAGGTTTTTCTTCATGACTCACAATCATCATCCGACAACTTTGGATAATTGGGTATTGTAAAAATCCCTAGCAATCCCAAAGCTATCTACCAACAGGAGATGCCTCAGATAACACTCCATGGGGTACATGCCCAGACAAACTCATATGCAAGTGGAAATAGTGTACAAAACACCCCAAGAAACCATAAGAAAGCGACCGGAAAATGCACACCCATTTGATGGTACAACATAAATTACACCAAAAAACATACTAAATGCAGATAGAAGCCATCAGAAGCTTGAGAGGTATCAAATGATCGGAAAATACATAGTGCAAGCAAGAACTAGAGAAGAATGAACTTTTGATTGGTTTTGGTAGACAAATCACTAAATGACCACTGAAAACCAGTATCACAAACATCAGTAAGGGAATTGAGTTCCAATAAACAAATTACAATAAAAATCTATCTTGATTATATGCATCAAAATCAAATGGAAACATGGCAGGCTACAAAATACCAACATATCCATACCCTCCATGTATACAATCAGGCATCTTGAGGAAAAAAAAAGTCCTGAAAGTATGAGATTTTCAAAATGTTTTATGAAAGACACAATTACACAGCAAAAAAACAAAAAAATATAATTGTGCAATACACCAGAACAAAGTTGTTAGTATCGTACGATACGCGATACGTATCGTACGATACGTTACGATACAGCCCTAAAACGATACGGATCGTAGTTATGTATCGTTTTTGCGTTGTATCGTCCGATACACGATACGTTTTTACGATACGATACGTATCGGTACGATACGCACGATACGTGCAATTTTTTTTTTTTTTTTAAANCGTACGATACGCGATACGTATCGTACGATACGTTACGATACAGCCCTAAAACGATACGGATCGTAGTTATGTATCGTTTTTGCGTTGTATCGTCCGATACACGATACGTTTTTACGATACGATACGTATCGGTACGAAACGCAGGATACGTGCAATTTTTTTTATTTTTATTTTTTTAAAAACGACGTCGTTTTGTGCTCTGATTTTTTAAAAAAAAAAACGACAAGACGATATGTGCAATTTTTTTTTTTTTTTTTTTTTTTTAAAAAAAACNTTCAATTTTTTTTTTTTTTTTTTTTTTTTTAAAAAAAACGACGTCGTTTTGTGCTCTGATTTTTTTTTTAAAAAAACGACNAAAAAAAAAAAACGACAAGTGAAGACTTGTTGGCATCCGATCACAATGATGATGATGATGATGCATTTTCAATTGAAATTGAAGATTGAGTTCAAAATGGATGTTAGAAATTTGGATTAGAAGTCTCTTTGGTGTTTAAAGTTTGAATTAGTGAACTATGGTTGTGAACTTTGCATTATAATAGTAGTGGATTATGTTGATAACTTGAATAGTTGGTGGAGTATTAATGAAATGCTATATTTTTTATGAGTGTATGACTTTTTTTCAAAGGTATATATATTTTTTTATTATTTATTTAAAATTGCATCGTATCTTACGATACACGATACGATACANCGAACGATATAGATAGAATGGTAGCCTTCTGCAGTAGGAGTTCTATTCCTTTATCTCTAGTGATTCTCCAAAATTTATGCTCTATCTCTTAGCTCTCTCTTATGGAAGAGCCTTACAACTCATGTTATGATATAGATTCCCAAATATGACTCGACCATTCATTATCGCCTCTCCGATTTTTTTTAGGAAGATATATACCTTCTATAGAGTTTCACATAGCCTTTGGGAAGGCTTGGGGGTCAAGGCCTTCTTCGNTACGGACCTAGTGTCTTTGAAGTTCTAAAGACTTTGGAATCCTAATCTTTTGGAATTCGGATTACTTAAACCTCTATATATAGTTAGTTTTATTTTTAATAATAGAAAAAGAGAGATATTCAGAATTTTGAGCAATTATATGTTTCTTGAGTTGTGTGGTACAATTCTAATCCTGTATGTGATACCTACGGAACCCTAGGAGTGATTGCTAACCAAAATTACTGTTTACGTTACTGTTCACATCCATTACTGTTCACGAGTACTGTTCATAGTCCCTGGACAACCCCTAAACAGTCCCTATTTTCTATTTTACAAAGTTGTCTTACATCATTAAGTATGCAACTTCAATCCAGTGCATGCATAACAAAGCATCTGCAAATAAAGAATCACATTGTGCATATACTTGTGGAAGAGAAAAAAATTTTATGATCTTTAGACAAAAGCAAAGTACTGCAAAAAAAGAGATAAATAAATAAACAAATAACAAAATAGACAAGCAAATATGATGGATGCACAAACATGTATGATTTAATTGGACAAAAATTTCTAAATGATACGATCACATGCAAGTAAATTTTACCATTCTTTTGGGTGGGGGGAGGACACAAATTTCAATAAGATGTTTTCAAAAAACCCATAAGCCCAAGGAACAAAGGCAAAAACAAACAAAACAATGTTCTATTGCTTTACAGATGTTCACTCCAAAATTGGACCTTGGTATTGTAGAGGACGCTATATTAGCAGGATACAGAAGCAGCAGTGTAATCATAGTGGCAATGCATAGAGTATGGCAGAAAGGTGCAACCGCAATTGTGGTTCTTTGTTGGTTGGGGAGGTGTTATGATTTGGTGGAAGGTGCAGTGTCACTGCAGTAGTTCAGAAGTGATGGATGCAATCACAACTGGGAAGGGGGTGGCGGCATTTTGGTAATGCAGGTACTACAATCAAGAGCCTAATATTAGGTTCTCCATTGCAGGAATTTTCTTTTTCTTCGGATAATAAAATTTATTTACTCACGAAATAATATTCAAAAAAAAAAGAATAGCAGACTGACCTTTTGTTTCACTTTTCGGAAATCTAGCAAGCGCAGAGACTTCAACTTGTGGATGACATACAAGCGATAATTGGGTTTCTTTGTGATATTATTATCCAGCAGGCTAAGGAACTGAAGCTTCAGAAGTGATGCAAGTGGATCAATTTCAACCAAATTTGTGAGTCTATTACTAGTAAGAACAAGAGTGTGCAGTTTTGGCAAAAACTCTGCAAAATTGACACCCGAAAACTTGTCAACATCACTCCACAACAACAAATTTGGGAAATTTATATTGGAAAAAAGGGTAAATATTAAATTATCCAATGCACTAACCTCCAATGTTGGGATTGATACGGGTAATTCTGTTGTTGTTTAGCAACAAAGTGCCAAGCCGATTTAGATAGGGAAAGTTCTCAAGCTTTACTATCTCATTTTCAGACAAATCAATGGTGTCAAACTGATCCTATAAAAGACACAACAGTACACATAAAGACAAATTTAGGGGCTGCAAAGCCGTCAAACTAGGAGTATTTGCTGCAACAACTGAGGATTTGCTATTGCTAAGAACTATAAATTAAAGTTAAACTAACCTCGGTCGCACCCACGTTCTCTATAACTGGAATCTTATTGCCTATACAAATATCATACAAACATGTAAACAGCACAAAACAAATATTACAAAAAAACGAAAAATAAAAAACGCAAAAACAAGTAATAAAAAATAAAAATTGCACACACAGAGAGACTGTGAATAGTAGGTCAGTCGAAACAACAGTAGATTTACTTCTACAAAGAACAGTTCTGAACAAATTAGGGTTTCGCATAATTAACCAACTATGTATTTATATACGCGCGCGCGCACACACACACAAACGTGTTCGCGTGAATATAGAGCAAACGAACCTCGAAGATCTAATTCGCGCTCGGCAATGGCATTGAAAAAGTGAGGGCTTTTCAAAATCAAATCAGCCGTTAGCCTCACCATTTTCGTCTGCCCTTATTATTTCTTCTCAGCAGCCGAACATAAACCCCTCCCAGGTATGCGGGTTCTACTTTCTAGTTGCCAAATATGGCATGACTACATAATTTTTAAATTTAATGACATTAATACCCTCTGTAATTTTTTTTTTTTTTTTTTTGATCTCAAATTGGACTTTAAAATATTAAAAAATTTAATTTGTATCCTTAAAAATAAAAATATGTATTAATGTGCACCTCAAACTAACTGCGGAATGCTTGTCATCTAAAACTAAATAAATAAATTATACCTAAACTTACTCAGATTTATCACTTAATCGCTTAGACTCCTCCTATTTGAAATATTACACTTACATCTCTTTAGAATCCAAATATGATTAAAAATGTTCCTCAAATTGAGCTTTCAAATAATCATGTTTAAGTGATATATTGTATTGAATATAAACAATACTATATAAATATTTACATTATATTGGACATTTAAATGATAAACTTGATTTTGAACTTTATAATATAACGTGCCCACAAAATAAATGGTAGTATGAAAATTATATTTTTTATTATGATAAAATCATACCTTTTAATGGTTATATTACTAGATATCAACGACTAGGGGTTATGTGTTACAAGTGCACAAATGATAAGAAATGTAGGAGTAATATTCTAAATGTAAGGAGGTTGAAATGATTAAGTGATAAGTATGAGAGAATCTAGGTATAATTTATCTATTTAATTTTAGATTGTAAATTGTCGATTGTTAGTTTTAAGTACACATTGATATAAATTTCTATCTTTAAATGTATAAATTGAAATTTTTAATTTTTGAAGGTATAAATTAATATTCGAATGATCGTTCAAAGCGTAATTTATGATTAACCCTTTTTTTTTTAAAGTCAGACACTATTAAAAGGTTGGGGACCATTATGTCCGAGCCCACAACCTTGAGGCCTAAGAGCGATGTCCGAATCTACAACCTTGAGGCCTAGAAAGTGGTGACCGCTGACCACTTTAAATGAATTGTTGAAAAATAAATGTATGAGACACGAAAAATGTCATGTGTCTATTAACAGATTTTGTTTTTGTCATCTTGCTCTTGAAACACATGGCATAAATGAAAAACAAAATAAATCCAAACATATTTTAGCATTTCACAGAAAGGGACACCCCCTCCCCTCTAAACACCAGTAGTCGACTAATACCCTTCTTGAAATTCAGCTATATCCGATCTTGTTTGACCTTTCACTCCGCAATAAGTCATCCTCATATTGTGTCTTATACATGAGTTCGGTCCTCCAAAGCTTGTTAGAGCTCATGCTTCAATCAATGTCTAATTACGAGGCTTCTTAAGCCCACAGTTGACTACTTATTAAAAGATCGTACGACGGATCTATTATTGATTAAATGACTCAATAAAGTAGGTACTAGATTAGTAACTTCATTTTTGTTGATTCATGGGGGATCATGGAAGATTTGGGTTTGAGTCCCAAGCCCCCCTTGTGATAGATGCATGAAATTCCTAGCCAAATCTTTCCCCCTCCTTGGATCCATCATTTTTTTAAGAGGAAAGATAAGTCTAATATACTACTTATGGAAGATTAGGGGTTGCTAATATGCCTACACAAGAAGCCTTCTCCCTCTCAGGCTAAAGAGTCAAGATAGCCCTTATCCTCTAATACATGTCACATTGGATTTGCTAATATTTCTAAAGGGCTTAGTATTTGGAGGAGTCATGAAAAATCCATGTTGCCAGTGTTCCGATCTTCAAAGAAGAATTAGGCTGCTCGTTCAACTTAACGTTGGTTAGACGTGAGGTCAAATATGTTCCGCTTCGCCCTATGACACTAACCTTAGTGTCCATATCTAAGAAGTTTTTTTGCTCATCTTTTTTTAATAATTTTGTATCTTTTCTATTTTCGTTTTGAATTTTCCTTCAGTGAAACCAGACAAAAACATTGGTCAAGTTGATTCATTTACCAGAACAGATAGTAACCCTTGCTCTAAAATAATTCACTGAACAAGTGTAAGCACTTTCGGAGACCACATCCATTACACCGCCCCTCCCCCTATACCCCTAAACATTAGCAGTCACCCCCCCAACTCTGCCTCTATGTGTGTGTGTGTATATATTGTGTAAGACTTCTCCTATGCTATTCATCTCCCACCACTGATATCCATCGCCACCATCAACCCTCTAAAATGACTCTCTCTCACACATTCTTAGTTCCTCACACAAAAAGGTACAAAAACCTCAACCGCCCCTACAACTCCCCACATGGTTGCTACCACCTCCATCAGCTCACCCAAGCCCACAACACAACCACATTTCCCTCCCTCTCCACTGTTGCCCATGAACCCAAAATTAGAAAAAACAAAACATAGAATTCCTGTAGACTAGACAGAATTTTAGAATCAAAATTCAAACCTAGTTCTTTATCAATTCAACTTTGGAATCGGGATGCCAAATCTGGCTGGTGAGCAATTTCGAGGTGGTGTCATGAATTAGAGCTTTAATGCCCACGAAATTTACAACAAAACAGGAATTTGTGTGATGTGTTGTATTGTTTATGTATTTGAGAGAGAGGGAGAGAGAGATTGTGTATTTGGAGGGGAGATAGACGTGTGTGGTTTTTTCTGAGTGTGCATGCAAGTGTTCAAGACTTAAAAGATAGAGATGGATGTAATGACAAATTTCGTGAAATGAATTAACACAAAATAAGGTCAAGTTACAATAGTCAATTTGATTGACTTTAAGTAAAAAATATAGTGTTGATTTTCTTCGGCGTGCTTCACACATGCAATATCCTCTGATTCTCGATGAACTTGATGAATTTGGTGAAGATGAGGGCCAAATTGACGTATTTCTCACTCTTCAATTAATGGCTTTGATGAAAACGAGAGCTGAATCAATGTATCTCCTACTCTTCAATTTGATGATGTTTTTGATGAATCTTCTCACCGTTCTTCGTTTGAAATGGCTTGAAGATGATTTGGATTTCTTGAAGAAGGACATTGGCGGTGTGTTCTTCTTCTTGGAGATGAACTTGCAAGGTTTTAAAGCTTTAGTGAACTTCGAGTAGAGCTTCGCTGATCTTCCTTTCTCCTTGACTTCTTCTCCTTCCTTCCTCCTCTTTTTTTGGCCTACTCCAGACCTCTATTTATAGTGGTAAAAGTAGTTATACATATAAATGTATTTTACCTGAATACCCTTGTGTGGACTTTAGGTAATGGACTACATATAAATTTGTGGGCTTTAGTTAATTTATGGAATTTAAGTCCAACTTTTTAAATGTTTGTTTAATTTGGGCTTATGGAATTTAAGTCCATTTAATTTAGCAAGCCTTGTTAATTATATTTTGACTTCTATTATTTGGACTGTAGAATTTAGGTCCAACTCAACTTTATTTAATTACATTTAGACTTATATCATTTGGGCTTATGAAATTTAGTTCCAACCTAATTTCATTTATCTAATTGATTTGAGTCCAATTATAGATATTAATTTGTTAATTAAATTTTTTAATGTCTACGAATGCCCCCTCGAGACTTATTTACATACTTAATATTTTATAAATATATAAATGAGTCTCAATTTATATTTTAATTTTGAAAAAAATTTGATTTAATTTAATTTATACATATATTTTAATTGGAATTATAGTCCATATGAAATTCAGTCTACGTGGAAGTCCCATTAAAATTTAAGTCTTGGATGTGGCCTTGGATCAACGAATATATATCACCTCCCTTTTTTTATTTATTTATTTCTTATATCTCTCTTTTATTGGTGCCTTCTTTGTATTATTACTTTTTTTTTTTTTTTAGAATTGTGTGAACAAGTCTAAAAGAAATTTGATTAATTTTTTTTTTTAAAGTTATTTTTGATAGACTTTACTATTTTGTAATAGAATTATAACCCATGTTGAACTCCAAGTAATACAAAGAATTCAATTAGTTACAATTTCCTAATATTTGGTTTATTAGGATTCAAAATAACTAGTTCTTTTTTACTTGAACACATGAACTTAAAACACTCAATCCCTCTAAGACTATCATAACTTTTCTCTATTTAAGGATGCTTAATGACATGAGAGTAATAACCCTTGAAAATTTGTTTGTGAGTCAAGAAAGCTTCGTGGTTCAAGACATCAAGGTATGTTTTATATTTATTTTATATATATACTAGATCAGTTCTTTTGAATGTTTCTGACTAATTTTACCATTAGACCAACCAATATAAATAGCACCCATATATCTCAGCTCTCTCCATGTCCAATTTTGAGAAAAACATCACGCTGAAGATAATAATATATTATTTATTCTAAATATATTATGATAAATTATAGAAATTGACGGGACTTTAGGTGGCTTGACAACATTAAATAGACACGTGGACAACTACAGTCGTTATGGAACGCAAAGGTCGCCTGGGAAAGGCGATGATGAGTTATGACCTGGAGGGTCGAGAGTGTCCTTCAGGGCCTAGCATTAAAAGGGATATGACAGCTCATTAATGGATATTCAAGTGACAGTGGCATGGTCATTAACGAGCTTCTATGTCCTCGAGAAATATAAAAACAGTCATCATTACAAGGTATTTAGTGCTGTAACGCCGACTTGATGTCATCGGCAAACTTGAGGATCCTTATTTCTAAGCAGTGAACGCTCGCGCGTAGGTGTGAAACTCCGATGAGAGGTATTTAATGCTCAGAGATTGGGCCATAAAGGCTCGGCATCTACTCACCTAAGGGGATGACACTCATTATGTTTAGGTATGAGTGCAGACCATTAAATTTTGAGATGGAACTCAAAGACCCTGCCACTATTACAAATTCGGGTATAAATACCTCTTAAAAAGTTGGTCTAAGGTATGCAATTCGAATATAGAAAATACACTCTGTTCATGACTACCGTGCCGATTGACTTGAGCTTCGAAAGGGATTAGTTGGGTACACACCCGACCCCTTTTTCCTAATTCTTTGTTTCAGGTTCAACGACATTTAGGATCAT